ATCTATCTATCTATCTATCTATCTATCTATCTATCTATCTATCTATCTATCTATCTATCTTCTATCTATCCATCCGTCCATCCGTCCGTCCTATCATCTCTCTCACACACACCCTCCTAATGCTGAACTCAGAATCATCTCTGCTTCACTAAAGGCGATAGAATTCACAGGCCCAAAACACGGGCACCGTCAGCAAAAGAGGACCCGGAAGAGAAGCGTGAACTCACGAGGTGTGGACGCTGCAGTTGTAGAAGACAAAGCTGGTGCTGGCAAACGTCATGCCCGTTTCTTTGGATTTGAGCTGGAGTTGGACAACGTGGTGGTCTCCTACGAGGAAGAAAACAGCCGGGTTACCTTGTTATTCACCCGAGTAAAAGGGATGGAGGGAATTCTGTCCTTCTGGTCCACCTGCGCACGGTGGTTCCCCAGGGCGGGGACCTTGGCAACATTAGGACTATGCCAGCTGAGGAATTCTGGGAGTTGAAGTCCACAAGTCTTAAAGTTGCCATGTTTGGAGATGCCAGTCCTAAGGGAAATGTTCTCGGGTAAAATTGCCATGGAGTTGTGTTTCTCTACCTGGGGGTCTCGCCTTGACCAGGGCTAAAATTTGAAAGAGCTGGCTCTACATTTGAACCTTTCAACCAGCTTTCAACCAAGATAACCGGACTTAAACCAGTGTCTGTTACTCGTACTAACTTAAATCTGGCACCCGCAACATACAGCCATTTGTTTAGCGGCTGTTCGAACTGACGGCGGCGCTGAAAGAAGTGACCTATGACCATTTTTCACACTTACGACCGCAGCAGCATCCCTGTGGTCACGTGATCAAAATTCAGGTGCTTGATGACGAGGCTCATATTTATGACGGCCTCGGGGGTCACGTGATCCCCTTTTGCGCCCTTCCGACAAGCCAAGTCTACAGGGAAGCCAGATTCGCTTAACAGCCATGTTGCTGACTTAACAGCCGTAGTGATTCGCTTAACAACTGTGGCGAGAAAGGTCGTAAAATTGGGAGTGGGGAACCACTTAACAAATTTCTTCACTTACCCACATCAATTTGGGGCTCAGTTGTGGTCCTAGATTGAGGACTACCTGCATTTCATTTCAAGAGGACGTGTTCCCCCCTCATTTCGCTCCCTCTACTCGCACCCCACGGACCCCAACGTCTCGGCTGTGACAACCCCTTCCCTAACCTTCATTCAGTGACAGGTCCTGCTATTTCCTTTAATCCCTGCCTGCCTTCTTTCAATGACAACCTGAATGCTGGCTTGCGCCTCATCTGACAACCGCATCTCAGGGACCTATTAAGACTTCAGAACAAAGGTCCGCGCATGTTTAATGCAAATCTTTGACCCCGTTTGGCTAATCCGCCTCTCTCATTTTCTTCCCCCTGAAAGAGTCATTAATCAATCACGGCAAAGGGGACTTGACAAGAGCTCATCGTGGGGCGTCTGCCTGCGCAAACTCCCGGCTCGCACATTCCTGAATGCATTTGGGGGCGAGGGGCGCCCCCTTCCGCTGCCCGCCTGCTCTGCCGAGCACTTGGATAGCTCCGTTAACACGCTGGGTTTAATCGCAAGCCGCTCCCTGCTGGGGGGATTTTAAGGTCGAATAGATCGGGAGAAACTGCAGTCCTTGTTTTACAACAGTTCCTTTAGTGACCGTTACAACGGCATCAGAGGTGGTCGCCAGGCCTGCAGCCATGTTCCTTTTGGATCTTTGGCCTGCCACAATAATATTCTATTCTACTATGCTGTTTCATAAGTGGGGAATTGGGAGTGGAGGGATTGTACGGAGTTAGATGCTATGTAGCCATAACAACATTCTTTCCAGAAAGCCAAGGTCATCCTTTGTCTTTGCACCTCTGCACCTGACCGGAACTGGATGGGTGGAACTGCCAGCGTGGCAGGAGGAGATTGGACCATGGGATGGACTTGTGGGCGTGGGGGCAAGATCTTGAAATTTCAACTGGGTGTGGAAAACCGGGAAACTTTCAGATTTGGGTTTTCCCAGATGTGCCAACATGGCTCTCTTAATAAATTGGAACTTTAAGGAATCCTTTGCCTTGGACTCTGATTTAATTTTGCATGCTATTTGGAACCCTGACAGTGGTATTCTACCAGTTCAGATTGGTTTGCCCGAACTGGTAGCGGAAATTGTTGGTGGCCCCGCCCACCCGCCCCGACTCTATGGCATCCCATTTAGGCCCTTTTTTAGCTAAAAGGGCCTGCGCAGAAAGCGTACTTCATGCACAGCGATGGTGTGCATGCTCACATTTGCGAACCGGTAGGGAAGGTAAATAAATACCACTTCTGAATGACGCCAAAGAAAGCGATTTGTGATTGTTTCTATTATTCACTATTGTTCACACTTGCGTGATCGCGTGATCAAAATTCGGGCACCTGGCAACTGGTTCATATTTATGACAGTCGCAGTGTCCCAGGGTCACATGATCCCCTTTTGTGACCTTCTGAGAAGCGAACCAGTTTTGCTTAGCAGCTGTTGTTACTCACTTAACAGCTGCAGCGATGACACCGCCACTGTCATAAGTATGAGCCAGTTGGCAAGCGGAAGAATTTTCATCACGTGACCATGAGGATGCTACAATGGTCATAAGTGTGAAAAATGGCCAAAGTATCCTTTTTCAGTGTTGTCGTAACTTTGAACAGTCACTCGATGAACGGTTGTAAGTTGAGGGCTACCTGTAGTCTCGATTTGCAGGAGAAGGGGGCTTTTTTCCCAGAGCACAAAGGGGAAGCAGAGTTTGGAATCTCAGGTGGGCAGGAAGAGAGCAAGGCCAGAGCCTCCCAAACAGTTCACATCCATCTGTATCCCTGTAACTATTGCTCCACACTTTACTCTGGCAAGATTCTGTCTTTAGGCAAACAATAGGCCTCAACGTACAGCCACAATTAAGCTCAAAATTTCTGTTGCTACGTGAGACACTTGTTGAGTGAATCTTGCCACATTTTTGCTTGCCACAGTTATTAAACGAATCACGGCAGTTTTATATATATAAAGTAGCCTGAAGATGACGAATGAGACTTCGTCGAAACGTCGCCTCACTCACTCTCAAACAAACACAAACACAGAAGTTGGATTGGATATATTTTCCAATGGCTTGAAAGCAGCTCCTCTGCCATACCCCTCCCCTTCCCCTGCTGCCTTCCGATCGGAGCCTTTGATTGCAGGTGAAGCCGCGTTGCCTTTTCAAACTTGTAATCAGTGAAGCTGGGCTTATATACTTTTATCCATCTCTGTGTGTGTGTGTGTGTGTGTGTGTGTGTGTGTGTTTGAAAAGGCAACATGGCTCTACATGCAATCAAACTTTT